GAAAGAGAGGAAGACACTCTCCGACCGACAAGATCGTTCCTCACTGCATCGACCAGGTTCATCTTTCTTACTTCAATTTTCAGCTTTGTCGGTGATTTGATTCAGCGAGATCCTTTCTGGGTTTTTCATTTTGGTTCATAGGGTTTTGTGGGCAATACTAAAGTTACGATCTTTCTGTTCCCTGAGGGTTTCTTCTTCTGTTTAAATCTATGATGGTTCCGTTCTTGATGATTTCGCTTCGGTTCGCGAAGTGGGTTTTCTAGTAGAATGCTAGAGTTTAGGTTTTTTGCTGTTGATAACTGATGGGTTCTGCTAAGGAAATGAAGGGCTTCTTCTCTAAATGATCCAGCTTTTCCATCGTGAATTAGGTCTTTCGTTCTGCTGAATCTCCATTTGAAATTAAGTTGAATCAGCTCGACTGATTCTGTTTCGATGATTTTGCTACTGAATTAGTGTTTGTACATAAATGGAAAGTATTCTGCTGCAAGATCCTTTCCTAGATCTCCAACATAATACATATGTTTCTCTGTGTCTGTGTCTGTATAGTCCCCACTTGTGTATGTGAACTCTTCTAACTTCCTGTTCGAGGTGTTCTTTCCTGCTTTCACTTCCATTCCATTTATATAGTACAGAGCTTCATGTGGATATAATGTACTGTATGAAGTATTTGATCAATCGTATAAGCTCTGAATTTTCGATACTCCAGGAGATTCCAGATCATGGGTTCTAAGCATAACCCACCGGGGAACAGGTCGAGGAGTCCTCTCTCTCTAATCGCCGTGATAGGTTTGTGCTGTTTCTTCTATCTTCTTGGAGCATGGCAGAAGAGCGGTTTCGGCAAAGGAGACAGCATAGCTATGGAGATAACCAAGCAGGCACAGTGCACAGACATTGTCACTGATCTCGACTTTGAGCCTCACCATAACAAGGTGGAGATTCCTCAAACGGCTAAGCCAAAACCCGTCGTGTTCAAACCGTGTGATGTGAAATACAAGGATTACACTCCTTGCCAGGAACAAGACCGTGCGATGAAGTTCCCGAGGGAGAATATGATATACAGAGAGAGACATTGCCCGCCAGAGAATGAGAAACTGCATTGTCTTATACCGGCACCTAAAGGATATATGACTCCATTCCCTTGGCCTAAATGCCGGGATTATGTCCACTATGCCAATGTTCCTTTCAAAAGCTTGACGGTCGAAAAGGCTGGGCAGAACTGGGTGCAATTTCAAGGAAATGTGTTCAAGTTCCCCGGAGGAGGAACCATGTTTCCTCAGGGAGCCGATGCATATATAGATGAGCTAGCTTCCGTTATCCCGATCAAAGATGGCACCGTCAGAACTGCATTGGACACAGGATGTGGGGTGAGTCAGTTCTCCATCTGTACATCTTGTTTTCGATCTATATTTCTGTTTTGATATGAATATTTCTCTCCTTTGTTCGTTTTTTTACCGCTAGGTTGCAAGCTGGGGAGCCTATATGCTTAAAAGGAACGTATTGGCAATGTCATTTGCACCACGGGACAACCACGAAGCACAGGTACAGTTTGCACTCGAGAGAGGTGTTCCTGCAGTAATAGGTGTCCTCGGGTCCATTCGTCTTCCATACCCTTCAAGAGCCTTTGATATGGCCCAATGCTCTCGATGCTTAATACCATGGACCTCAAACGGTAAGTGTCAGTAGCCTATGTTTGATCTCAAACAATACAAATGGAAATAGAATCAACTTCTTGAAATTGATGGCATTTGGACCGATATTCTATTGCTTGGACAGAGGGAATGTATTTGACGGAAGTCGATAGAGTACTGAGACCAGGAGGGTACTGGGTCTTGTCTGGGCCTCCGATCAACTGGAAGACCTATTACCAGACATGGAAGCGGTCTAAGCAAGAACTCAACGCAGAACAGAAGAGAATAGAGGAAATTGCAGAGTCCTTGTGCTGGGAGAAGAAGTACGAGAAGGGAGATATCGCAATCTGGAGAAAGAAACCGAACGACGAGTCTTGTGACAGGACATCCGTTAACTTCTGCGAGGGAAAAGACACCGATGATGTCTGGTATGTTTTTCTCTTCTACATTGATTGATGTATGTTCTATCTTAAGTTTCGTTGCTAAATCTTTGCCTTATGTTCTATCGTAGGTACAAGGAGATGGAAACGTGTGTAACTCCGTTCCCTAAGGTATCCAGTGAAGACGAAGTCGCCGGAGGAAAGCTGAAGAAGTTTCCGGAAAGGCTGTTTGCAGTCCCTCCACGTATTTCCAAAGGTCAAGTCGAGGGTGTCAATGCTGAATCATTCGAGGAGGACAACAAACTCTGGAAGAAGCGTCTGAGTACATACAAAAGGGTCAACAGACTGATTGGTACAACAAGATTCCGTAATGTGATGGACATGAACGCGGGTCTCGGTGGATTTGCAGCAGCGGTTGAATCCCCTAAGTCTTGGGTTATGAACGTCATTCCAACCATTGCGAAGAACACGTTAGGTGTCATATACGAGAGGGGTCTCATCGGTATCTACCACGACTGGTATGAAAGATCTGATTTTATGGGGATTCGAGTCTTTCCTTGTGCGAAAGATCTGAACTTTCGGAATATGAACACGGTTTCTGATAGGGGTGGCCAATTCGGGTTTCGGTTCGGGTTCGGTTCGGTTATATTCGGGTTCGGTTATTTCGGTTATAGAAAAACTATAACCATTCGGTTTTTATATAAATTCTGGTTCGGTTCGGTTCGGTTATTTTTCGGTTCGGGTTCGGTTCGGTTTTGGTAAAAAGTTCAATTTTCCAAAGAAAATGTCGGTTATTCTTTCGGTTTTTTCGGTTATTTTTTATTCGGTTCGGTTCGGTTTCGGGTTCGGTTTTTCGGGTTTAAGTAAATCATAACCGTTCGGTTTTGATGTCGGGTTCGGTTCGGATACGGTTATGTCTTATTCGGTTCGGTTCGGCTCGGTTATTCGGTTAATAATCGAAATGACCACTCCTAGTTTCTGATGTTTTTCTTCTGTTTTGTATCTACAGGTGTGAAGGCTTCTCTACTTACCCGAGGACATACGATCTTATCCATGCCAATGGCGTCTTCAGCTTGTATAAGAACAGGTCAGCCGAACTTGTTCCTTATCAATCAAACCATCGTCAAAAATCGAATCTTTTAGCCATCATTGTTCATCGTCGAGCACCATTGTTAAAAATCGATTCTTCCTCATCAACATCGTTAAAAATCGAATCTTTGTTTCTCATCGTTCACGAATCTGGCTCAAGAAACAAGGGTCGTGTTTTTTCTCTCGTAACACAGCTCTGTTACTGAAGATCTCAGACATAACTCTCTCTCTCTCTCTCTCATGATATTCTGTTCTGCTTCTATATGGTTTGAATTCCACACATGCAGCTGCAAAATAGAAGACATTCTCTTGGAAATGGATCGTATTCTCCGGCCAGAAGGAACGGTGATTTTCCGTGACGAGGTCGATGTTCTTAACGACGTAAGAAAAATCGCCGACGGAATGAGATGGGACACAAAGCTGATGGATCACGAGGACGGTCCTCTCGTGCCGGAGAAAATCCTCGTCGCCGTCAAACAGTACTGGGTCGCCGGCGGTAACAGTACGTCTTCTTCTAGTGAAGAATGAATAGCCAAAACTTTCTCAGGTACTTGTATTCAAATTCCCCCGGACGTTTATCTTTTCCCGGATTTGGCTGCAAAGTCTTGTTATTGTCAATTTACCCCCTCTCAAGATGCAGGTCAATACAAGATTATTGTTAGATTTTGCTTTTATTCTGAATTTATTTACAAGGTTATTGTGTTCACAGTGTGATTGTTGATCTATGCATCCCGGCAAGAGGAAGTTTGCTCGAAGCCAATGGAAGTGAGAAAGTGAGGACAGAATCGGAGTTTCTACGAAATGGAGGGGTCAAAGTTTGAATATTTTAGGTGGTGTAAAAGAATATTTGCAATTATTTTTTGTCCCCTAGCATTTCATTTTCTTTAGTTTTTTTCCTTTATAATTATTGTTGATGTATTTGGCCCAAATAAGAGAGTCCAAAGCTCGAGAAAAGGTTTGCATCGGTCGCTAGCTATTATGATGTGAAATTATTGTATGATCGTAACATTTTTCATTAGTATGATGTGAAATTAATTATTTCCATAACATTGTCATATAAAGGCCCATATGTAAATAATTGGGCATTATAAACATTTAGCCTCGATGGGTTTGAAGGTTTTATTTTAATTAATATGTCAAATCTCAATGGATTAGGTGCTTTTTTCATTAAAAATTCAAAGTCAGGCCTTAGTCCCTTTTTGTCTTGCAATATTTCGATTTTTTTTTCTTTCATAATACTCGTTTTATTTTATTTTATTTGTTGGTGGGAGTAGAGATTAGAGAATGTGGAGTGATGTATAAAAAATATTTGCACTGATTCTTTCATCGAGAAATTCCCATATGATTAGTATATGATTAGTCAAAGATTCTTTTTATTAATGGTTACCATTATGAAATTATGTTATGTCCTTTTTTTAAAAAAAATTTACTATAGTCTATTTAGGAATATATTCCCTTGTTCTCTTTATTTTAATTTTGTTGAAAAAAAAGAGGATTGTACAAAATATTCAAACCAATACAAACCCAAATGAAAATCGATTAAAGACTTTAGACTTTCATTAATTTCATATGGTACACGAAAAAGAAATTTGTAATATTAATTCAATTTACATAATAAGAAATTATTTGAATATTAAAATACATCAGTAGTTCCGATAATTCGTAGACGTTAATCAAAATCTCCTTGAGATATTTGGTATTTATGTGCTTTTTAGATTAGTGCAGAAAGTGGTATTAATTAATATTAAATATACTTATTTAAAAAGAAGTAGTAACCACTTTTCTCGGTATAATTCAGGACCCAAGAAGACATTGGCACGTGCCCCATGATAGACTGATCATGTGATCCCCTTTTCTCTCTCTCTCTCTCCATCATATTCTTTTGAAACCCAATTTCACCCCAAAAACAAATCATTTTTAGCATTTCTTGGAATTATATTAAACATAAATTAGCAGAAACTAGGAGACAAGAGTTTCTAAAATTTCCCAAAACCAATCTAAAATATAGATTTTACAAATATTATTTTATTCAAAGAGTTTTTTTTTTGCATGTGATGTAAACTAAAAGAACAGCTTCTACTAATTTTTTACCAAAAAATAAAAATAAAATCAAGAAGAACAGAAGAGTTGGGAAATGATATTTGCTTGGCATAGTGTTAATGAGACCTATTTTTCAACTCTCTGCAGCCTTTTGGGTTAGATTTCAGATTTTCCCTATCACTGTTCAATCAGAGAAAGTACTTTTTTTATATATATATAATATATTAGGCTTTTTTTTTGTGGGTGGAAAATTTATATCCCACACTGCTTCCTCAGCTCCTACCAGGAAACAAAGCCAAACCAAAAAATCCCACCATTGTTGAGACCTCACTTTCCCTGGAAAACGAGGGAAAATCCTTCAACTGATCAACACAGATATTGCCCTTAAACTCCTGTTTCCCATCCAAATTTATGATCTTTCTGCAGAAATCATAAAAATTTTCCAGCTTTTGAATGTGAGAGAAAGAGAGAGAGAGAGAGAGATGGGTTGCCTGCACTCAAAAACTGCTCATCTTCCTTCTCCCGATGACCCATCAGCCCCAAACAAACCAGAATCAGGTATCTCTCTTGATTCTATATTTTCACTGTTTTGTGATCTTTTGCTTGCAAAATGTCCAGATTCGGTTCGGTCTATGCGTATTTCTGTCCTGTTTTTTGGTGGGTTTGCTTCGGTGCCTTGTGGGTTTTAGGGTTTCCTGATCTCTGAAGCAGAATACGTTGGAAAGTTTCTACCTTTTTCGCACTAAACCCTTTTCTGTACCTCCTTTCGTAACTCGGTGCCTTTTTCATCTTTGGGGTTTTGTTTTTTCTTTCCCTGTTGTTATAACTGTTGATTGTGTTGCAGTAAATGGGGACCAGATGGATCAGGAGAACCAAGTTCCGGCTTTCAAAGAGTTTGATCTTGATGAGTTGAGGAAGGCAACAAACGGTTTTAGCTCAAGCTGCATTGTGTCTGAAGGTGGAGAGAAAGCCCCCAATGTGGTTTACAGAGGAAAGCTTGAAGGGAACCGGCTCGTAGCGATTAAGCGGTTCTCTAGGCAGTCGTGGCCTGATGCTCAGCAGTTTGTGGTAAGATGTGAAAAAAGGTCAACCTAGGATTTATTGTTTGGCTGCTGAGAAAATTCATGGAATGATTTTTCTGTGAATTTTAGCTCGGATTTGGGACTCTTGAGTATTGGGGATGCTCCAGTTACCGCCAAAGACCAAACTTATAGGGTGATGTGTAATTTCTAGTCAAAGGGATGGAAAAATAAGGGCTGCCCTTGAGAATGATTTGATGAGAGAATAGACTACACTTCTTTTGGTTGCTTTAAGATGTCAAAAGTCTGCAACTTTTGGTGCAAAACTGTTATATAATTCCAGGTTTACTGTTCTATTGGGTTCCTCTTTTACTTTCTATCTTCCCTGTTGTTTCATTATTTCGGGTTAGGATTACTTTTGCATGCAATAATGGCAGGTAGATCCTTAAAGGTGTTTTCTTCAAGTTTTCATCATTTGAAAAAAAAAACACTTTGAAGTCAACTATGGAACTTTTTTCTTTGTTCACTTGGGTACCTGTTTTCTGTTCAAGTTGGGAGCTAAAGAGAGCAGAAAGTGGGAAATGTGATCTTGTGTTGACCATGTTTGACTTGTCAATCAGGCAGAAGCAACCGGTGTTGGTAAGCTTAGACACAAGAGATTGGTCAATTTGATCGGTTGCTGTGCTGAAGGAGATGAGAGACTGTTGGTAGCGGAGTATATGCCCAATGATACCCTCTCGAAGCATCTCTTTCACTGTACTAACCTTTTTTTTAATCTCAAATTTTTAGTCATTCATTCCCCGTATAAGCTTCTTTAGAAGTTTTATGTTCATCTTTCTATGTTCTGCTTTCGTTTTTGCAGGGGAAAAGCAACCACTCCCATGGGAAATGCGTGTTCGGGTTGCAGACTATATTGCACAAGCACTCGATCACTGTAACATGGAAAACAGGAAAATCTATCACGATCTTAATGCATACAGAATCCTCTTCGATGAGGTGTACATCTCATCAGAATAAACGTTGCTACAGACTCGCATTTGCATAGCTTAAATTTCACTGGTTTTCCTGCAGGATGGTGATCCTCGTCTATCGAGTTTTGGTCTCATGAAGAACAGTAGAGATGGAAAGAGCTACAGTACTAACTTAGCTTATACTCCGCCAGAGTTTTTACGAACAGGTATAGATGTGTCCTCAAATGTGAAACACAATCAAGAACATGAATATTCTGTCTTTTTCCTGCTCTGGTGAACATCATGGTTCTGTGCATTTGCAGGCAGAGTCATTCCTGAAAGTGTGATATACAGTTATGGAACGGTTCTTTTGGATCTGATGAGCGGTAAACATATTCCACCAAGCCATGTATGTACCCTACTTTCAGCAAACTCTAACCTCTTTCAGAACACATTTTTCTCATGTACTGCATGGTGGCAAGTCCCCACCCCACCCATGTGCATGTCATGTATACCATCCAGATGGAATGTCCCATCTGAAGTAATGATCTTGTTCTTTACAGGCTCTCGATATTATAAGAGGGAAAAATGTGCTGCTATTGATGGATTCGTCTCTGGAAGGGCAATATGCGAATGAAGATGCCACTAAATTGGTCGAGCTTGCTTCAAAATGCCTTCAATCAGAAGCCAAGGATCGACCCGATACCAAGTTTCTTCTCTCTGCGATCGCACCACAACAAAAGCAAAAAGAGGTGAAGCATCATCCTCTAAGACTGACGCCCATTACTGTGAAATATGCACTTCCATGACAAAAGTGTTTGCTTTTCCTGTTTTTTGGGTTGTGCTTTCAGATTGCATCTCATGTGCTGATGGGCTTGCAAAAGAACACTGTAGTTTTACCAACTATGCTCTCTCCTCTTGGAAAGGCCTGTTCTAAGATGGACCTGGCAACCGTTCATGACATTCTGCTTAAAACCGGTTACAAAGATGAGGAAGGTGCAGAAAACGAGGTACATTTACAATCTTTTCCTCGTCAATGTTGTTTCTATGTATTGTATCAGTATATTCACTTACAGTTAGATCTGTGTATTCAGCTTTCATTTCAAGAATGGACTCAGCAAGTGCAAGAGATGTTGAACACAAAAAAGTTTGGAGACATTGCTTTTAGAGACAAGGATTTCAAGAATGCTATCGAATGTTACTCAAAGGTAAAAGAATTCGAATTTAAAGATTCTCGAGAATATCAAGAATCCATGGAATCATAAGTAGATTCAAGAAAGATTTCCACTTTTGCTTCTTCTGCATATCTCAGTAGCAGCCTAATCCTCGTATCTGCTGTGTTACTCTGTCATGTGAACCAGTTGGTGGCGATGATGTCGGGACCTTCTGCCACTGTGTTCGCGAGAAGGGCTTTCTCGTATCTAATGACGGACCAACCAGAGCTTGCCCTAAGGGACGCAATGCAGGCGCAGGTGTGCATACCCGAGTGGCCAACTGCATTTTACCTCCAAGCCATTGCGCTTTCGAAACTGGGGATGGAGACTGATGCCCAAGACATGCTCAATGATGGTGCCGCCTTTGAAGCCAAGAGACAGAACAGCTGGCGAAGCTGAAGAAAGCAAAGCCCCCCAAATATTTATGGGTCTTCACGGACAAGTTCGAGGTATTGTCTTGTAAGAAAAAAAACTGAGAGATGTTGTGATGAGTTTTGCAGGAAATTGGTTTGGTTATGGATGTTGTGATCAGTGTCTGTGTGTTGGTTGGTTGGTTGTTTCAGTGAAGTGTAAAATCTCATGGAAAAAGGAAAATAATAGCATGACTTTCCCACTGTTGTGATCTAATTGCACTTTCCTTGATTATATAAAGAAACCGCAACTGTGTCTGAAAATCAATATGGTATTACGCATATCAACAGATTTTGGGAAAACAATAGTTGCTATTGGTTACAACGATGTTCTATGCCTGGGAAGCAACCAAAGGTTGAAACTTTGACTCCAACCAGAATACCAAATCATCCCTTGTAGCCACAAAGCGACCTGCCTTTTCCTGGCATGGTCTGAAAGGCACAGAGAGCTTTTCAAGGTGAGATGAGAACGAGTTCCCTAATCCCTGCGCGAATTTGTGAGTTCCCATCCCGGTTTGAGCCAAGAACCTCTCAGGAAGATCCTCTTGGCGTCTAACAATGGTGGCCAGTGTCCTCATCCACTCTTCAAGGGCAGTTTCAGCAGCACCAATGGACAGTGACCTTACGTCTAAGCTCCACTCTTTTAGGGTTTTGTTGTGAAGTCCAGGATACAGCCCAAAGAGTGTTCCCAGATAGAGAAGCTCACGAGCTCTCTCATGGTGATTCTTGTTCCTGCATATGTCTATCAAGCAGTTGCAGAAGGGTCTTCTGGCTTCCACTTGGGTTTCACTGATCACCGACCTGAATTCTTCTTTAACAGTTTCAAACCCGGTTTTCTCATCCATGATTAGCTTCACAAAGGAGATCAGCTTCAGATTGGCCTTCTCCAAACACGCCATTACCTTATCAGTATCTTCACTGGTCTCACACAAGGCCACGACTGAAAGAAGACAGCCACATAGCCTGTCATCAGGCTTAACTCCACGTTGAATCGAAAGGTTAAATACTTTAACCAAATCATTGATCCTTCTTGCTTTTCCCAAGCATTGGATTAAACAAGTGCAACCCATCACGTTAAGTTGAACTCCGGCTTCCAACATCTCTTCAAACAATGCCATGGCTTTGTCAACTTTCCCTCCACTGCCATATATATTCAGCATTGCTGTGTAACTAAAACTATCCGGCTTAGATTGCATGGACTGCTTCATATCACAAAACAGCGTCTCTGCTTCTTCCTCCAACCCGATATCCGCACACATGTTCAGCAATGTGTTGTACAGAATGAAGTCCATTGGCCAGTTCCTAGCCTTCATTTCCTTCCACAATTGAAGGGCATCTTTCTCCCACCTCGCTTTACCGTAAATCTTGACAAGAGCTGTTAAAGTTATCTCATTCGGAGTTAAACCTGACTCGAGCATCTCATTGAACAGACTCCTAGCCAAACCTGGCTTCTTGGCCTTGCCCATTGCCTCCAACAAAGTATTGTACACAACCACATTAGGCTTTACATCCATGGATTTCATCTCTTGAAGAACATACCTAATCCCATCATAATCCCCTGCCTCACCGAACATCTTTCCCAACACTGAAAACGTTAAAGGATCGGGTTTCCACCCCGTAGCCACGGCCCTCTCATAAAGACTGAGTACCTCCTCAACCTTGCCCAACTTGGCATAAACATCAAGAACTGAAGAGTAAGTGACCTCATCCGGCATCAGACCGGTTTTATACATTCTCTCAAACCATTCAATAGCTTTGTCATAAAGACTGCACCTCTTTGCACATGTAATTATAGTGGAATAAGTAATGTTATCAAGCTCAACCCCATCCCTTACCATTTCAAGCGCAAGCTCCTCAATGAGCTGAAACTGCCTCCCAAACCTCAGAGATTTCATCGTGACGTTATAAAATATGGTTTCGATGGGGAACAGATTCTGGGCCTTCATCCAACCAAAGAAAAGATGGGTTTTCTGCCATGGTCTCAAGCTATTAAGCACCAACAAGGCATTGTCCCTGGTGAGTGGGTGTGGAATTTCATCGAGAACAGCCAAAAACTCGGAATTTTCGGTGAATTCAGAGCTGTTGAGCTTCTGGGCAAAAGCCTTGAGGTCTTGAAGCTGAGGGTTGTAGGAATAAGACGAGCGTTTGTGCCTCTGAAGTGAAAGAACTGACCTTTTGGGCCTTGCGGGATTAACCCAGACAGACTTTGGCTTAGACAAGACATGGGTTTGATCCGGTTTGAGCGTCGTTGCAGAGAGAGACTTCAGCTGTTCAGACAGAGATGGGCTTTTGGCGCCGGTGAGCGGATATTCTTCTAGGGTTTTAGCTGGTTTCGATGAATTGCAGGAAATGGTGAGTCTTTTGGTCCGACATCGTCTTAAAGGTGACGGTTTTGGGTTTGGGAAGAAGCTCTGCCTCTTCGTGTCAGAGCTCTGCGAAATGAAACAGGCGTCAATGGCTGTGGACAGAAGAGACGCCATTAGAGAGGCACGGAGAGGTTTTTCCCGTGAACAGGGAGAGGGCTTTGTGTTATGGATACATGAAGATATTATTCAGACATCTTATCTCTATTTGAAATGACGCTCTAAAACCCTAAAATTATATATTTTTTAGGATTTATTTTTTCTCTGAAGCTGTAAAAGTTTCAGTCTAGTTGAAGTGATTTTTCAAGGCGGTCGAAATTATATATTAAGCAAATAATTTTATATTTTATATAAGAATTTTCAAGTCTTATTAACACCACCTGGTCCTAAACACCATCCCGTTATATAAATGGGCCCAATAGTTCAGCTATTGGGCCAGCTTTAGGCCCAAATCAAAATAAAATTTTGGTTCACCAATTTAGACACGATTTAATAAGAATTTAAACCATTTAATGCGTTTATAAGAACAAAACACTGATAGTAAAAAACGATCCGATTTTGAAGCATGTTATAATTTTATAAATTTTAAAATTAATTATAAAAATTTAATAAAATTAACAATTTAAATTATCGCAATTATGAAAAACTTTATTATTAAAAATACATCTTAGCTGAATACCATATATACACACACATGTATGTATGTATGTATGTATGTATGTATGTATGTATGTATGTATGTATGTATGTATGTATGTATGTATGTATGTATGTATGTATGTATGTATGTATGTATGTATGTATGTATGTATGTATGTATGTATGTATGTATGTATGTATGTATGTATGTATGTATGTATGTATGTATGTATGTATGTATGTATGTATGTATGTATGTATCTCTTGACTAGATGTATTGTATGTTTCTACTATATGTGAAGGACCAAATTCGTGCTGATATTTAAGAGTTCATCAGCTCAAAATATTTTAATGATCTCAGATATAAAACTACGTTAATTAATAACTTAGTTATGACATATTTTACATTTTCACGTATGTTTTTTATTATCTTTTAAATGCGTGAGTATATCTTTACATGTTCAGAATCAATATGATAAATTCAATATCTTTTCCTATTGAATTTTATACCAAAGAGAATGAATCTACAATCAAAATTCAAAAGTGTATTGGATTATGTTCATAGATGCCCCAACCACTAAAGTAGATATTGTTGATATATATATATATATATATGCACAGCAAATCATTGACCATAAAAAAAATGTGTGAATATATTAATAAATTTCGTCTGCAAAGATGGGCGATCATGCTATCTATACGTGGAATCATCTTATCACTAGAACGTAACATTACTAGTGCTACTTGTTAATTTCCAAGTCAAAGTTGTATATTTGCATATTGTAGATGGAATATTATCAGACATACCCTTATTTTATTATATAAATTTTAAACTATATTTTCTTATATTATTTTTTATGTGATCAATTTAATCTTCATGATATATCTTAAGGTCACAATGGTTACATTACCGTAAAATTATATGATGATCATACTAATTGATTAGTTAATTATATCGTTCAAAACTCGTATGGTGATTATATCGGTTATATATATCGGGTAAACAAAAAAAGTTTAAAAAGGTATGATCTATGCAACAAAGTAGTTTTGATATAATGCTGTTGTAAATACTCTATCCCCAAATCGTTTTATAACAAATGATAAATTTGGTTCAATTTAATTAAATGTATTGATTAAACCATGATCCACGCGTCATAATAATTACAGAGACAAAAAATTGACATTTGAAATTTAGTCCAAAAACAAAATATTTATCATATAACCTAAAAAGTCAAAGATGTGAAAATCACACCCACTAACGTGGGAAAGCAACTTTGTCCATCTCCTGTCCTCCATCATCCGATAGCTTCTTGTGTTTATACAAATGCTTGTGTTGTGCCTCTGAGTGTGTGTATACATACATATATATATATAAACACACAAAGACAAAGAGTGTACGTACACTTGGCAATATTTTGATAGAGAGATTTGATAATCTATGTATTTATTTATTACTGAGATTTTATGTAGAAGTTGGATTTTGGGCGTGATTATGTTTTGGGATATGAAATATAAATAAAATAAAATAATGGGTGAGATAGATATAAATGAGAGACAAAAAAAAAAAAAAGAGGAAGGGAGCCGAAAGCAAAGAGACGAAAAAGGCGGGGGACAAAGTGTGATAAGCCAAGTCTTCTCATTTTCAAAAAGTCCTCATAACTTCTATTTTAGACTAATTTGACCCAATTCTCTTTCTCCATTTTTTTTTTAAACTTGATTTAAATCTCCAACGGAACTGGAGTTCGTTACGGGAATCTCCAAAAATGATTAGCAATCTAAATTGGTTTTTCTTTATATATTGAAACTTAAAAAACGGATTTTAGTTTCGAATCACTTTATTTTTAATAATTATTATCGAATTATTTTTATGTGAATGGTTAAATTATGGGATGTTAAATGATGGCTAACGAATAACGAATATACACATATAACAAAGTATAACAAACGTCGGATTTTGTTTTTTATAAATAAAACAAAGTTAAGATAATTATGAGGATTAGATTTAAAAAGGTTTTTCGGTTGGAACGTGTGTGTGTATATAATCATGCTCTATATCACATTTTATCGATAGAGGAAAGACATATTAAAATATAATCCAATCCGAAGATAATAATCACGTTATTACATATAAGATTAAAGAGCTGACATTAAAAATAACCCACTTGGTTGGTGGGTAGGTGCATTGAGGTTATCTTCAATTTACTTTTCCGCAATCCTTAAAACAAACGTTTATTTCGTTTTTAGTTATAATGATTTTTATATATCTTTAATTTTAAACCCACTGTAACTACAAAGCATATTTTTACAGGGGGTTAAAATGAGCGTTTCTAAAGTACTGGGAAATACTAGAACCCGATTGTAATTGCAAAGCGCAATTAGATATAACCGAACTTTTATTTCCGTTGTACGAAGTTATTCGTTTTAATCCTCTTTTCTTTTCCGTTTTTTTCTTTTTCGTTTTTATAGTTTCAATTTTATAACTTTTATTAGCCTCTATTGTTAATAAACTTTAAAGTTTCATTTATTAATTTTGTATTATGTGGCATAAGTTAAAATTCAAAAAACTAAGATTACGAAATGATTATAGTTTTTATTTTGAGTTTTTATTTTTTAGATTTTAACTTTGTTTTTCGGTATTTTTTAGTATTTATAAATAAAAAATGGAGTTTTGGATTTTTAATTGATTTTTAGTTTTTTCAAGTTATTGACTAAATTTACAAAATCTTAATTATCAATTTTTTTTGTTTTTTGAATTCTAAAAACTTTAAAAACTACCTCCATTCAACCCTAAAATTCATGCAAATAAAACCCTCTTCTCTAAAACTCTTTTAATTTTCCCACAAAAGAAAATATAAAACGTTGATAATTTCCTTTTTGTTCATACTTTCAAATTATCATACACAAGTACACAACTAATATCAACCGTACGTAACTATCATTCAATTATTCGTTCATTCACGAAAAGTTATATATATATATATATATATAAGTATGATCAGTATAAGATATTTGAAAGGCTTGCTTGTATTATTGCTTTATATCAATATTCATACAAGAGTATATTAAACCTATTTACAACAACTTCCCTAACTTGAAGAGATGTCAAATATAAAAAATATTATAAATATCTCTAATAGGCAGTCCTACGCAGATGGGAACTACACCAGGTAATGCTAACTTTTATATCTTTAAAACATTACATTTAATTTTTTTCTCGAATTTATCTGTGTTTGCAAATATTCAAATGGACTGTTTGGTCATTACAAAAAGACATGAACGAAAAAGAAAAGCAGGAAAAAAAAATTAACGATTTTAATAATCATTTTATTTTTTTAATTGGAGATGCGGATTTCCGATTGCTGTTCCGACGCTATTTTCCCATTTTAGTTTTGTCATCACTTCTCTAATGACTTGAAAAGTGCTTCCACAAAAGTTCTTTTGTCCGACGCATGCTGACGTGGACGTGGATAACATTGTTCGACACTTGACAAAAAAAAATCACAAACGGAATTTGGAATTTGATATCAAAATGCTGCGTCTTTTTTTTTTTGGGGGGGGATTTGTATTATATACTTTCACATGCTCATGATGATGGATTTGATACACGTCAAGTAAAACCATGGTTTCTATTAAAAATAAAATGTCAACATATTGGAAAACTATACGTTATAGTAAGAAAACCGGAATTGGGAATGTTAATAGAAATGGGGTGAATGAGTTATATATAATTATAGTGTGAACAAGTTCGGGAGCTTTAGAGTGCAGGTGGGTCCAATTTCTTTTGGAATTTTTTAGAGCTCTTGGGACAAGCAATGTCATAATTACTTTCGGTGTATAATGGTTATTTTCTTCCCAATATTATATTATATATATATAAATAAAGAAAAATAATAACTTTCAATATTGTTTTTGGTGATCTGGCCGTCGGCTTTGGCGCTATATATATCAAGCAATCCACAGCCTTCAAGCACTCTACCAACCTTCCCTCGCTCTCTACCCTCCTAATTAATTACCCCTTAAAACTCATATTTAATTAATCCATCTCCTCCTTCGCAAACGTCCTTTCAAAGTCCAAACCTTTTTGCTCATTCAGCGGCTTTGACCTTGAGATTTAGTTTCTTGTTTTCCAAATCCCACCTACTCGTTTTTTTTTCATCAGCCCTTTGATTTCGGTCTAATATTATCGAGAAAAAGGGGGAAACTTTAGGGTTTTTTTGGGGGTATTTTGTACGAAAATACCGAAGAAACAGAACCGTATTTTTGCCAAGACAATGTTCTTGTCGCAAAAAGCATGCAATAGACGTGAGTTCCTCAACAAAAAATCAAGTGTCGAGAAAAGTTTCTATTTTTGGATCTTCCAAATCATCAACAGATATAGCTCTTCTGCAACGTGATTGGTTCTTGTCTGTATGTTTTTTTGGATAACAATAGATTTTTTTTTTCTTGGGTGAGGGTTCTTTCTTGTGTCACAAGTAACTAGCACTGCTACAGCAGAGTGTGATTTCTCCTGCAAAAAAATGGCAAGTTCATCGTTACCTCCGGGATTTCGATTTCATCCTACCGACGAAGAACTCGTCGGGTATTACCTGAAAAGAAAAGTCGAAGGGCTTGAGATCGAGCTAGAAGTCATCCCCGAGATCGATCTATACAAATTTGATCCTTGGGAACTACCAGGTATCTTTTCCGATTGAGACTTTTTCTCATTCTTGGAATGTTCTTCGGCATCTTTGTTCTCATTCGGAACAAGATCTTGTATGTATGTTTTCAGACAAGTCATTTCTGCCGAACCGAGACATGGAGTGGTTCTTCTTCTGTCCGAGGGACAAGAAGTATCCGAACGGTTCCCGGACGAATAGGGCAACAAAGGCGGGTTATTGGAAAGCAACCGGAAAAGACAGGAAAATAACGTGCCATTCCTCGGTCTCGGGCTATCGTAAAACACTGGTTTTCTACGAGGGTCGTGCCCCGTTGGGCGATCGAACTCATTGGGTCATGCATGAATATCGTCTATCCGATGACGATCTTTCTCGTGGATCAAAGAATTCAAAGGTAAGAAACATTTCAATAATGTTTTTTTGGAACCTTATTATATATTGAAGAATCGTATAATTTGTTTTTTGTGTCTTAATGTTCTTATTTAGGGCTGTGCTTTTGCGTTGTGCCGCGTGGTTAGGAAGAACGAGCAAAAGGGTACTAATTACCTCGAGAAAAATCCACGAGATAAAAAATTTCCGAATGAACAAATGGTCGACCAAACGCCATCGTTTACCTCGTGTAACCCTAATTTTACCACGGCGGACTCTTGTAACATTTGGATTTCTCCCGATTTTATCCTTGATTCGTCAAAGGTATACTACTTGATGGCCGTCAATTTTTGCACGAGAACTTGTAACTAAACTTGAATTTTTCGCTTACTAAACGATATATATATATATATATTGGTTATATATATGCAGGATTATCCCCAGATTCAAGAAGTTGCGTCCGAGTACTTTCCTAAGCATGATTTCTCGTGTGCTAATAACGAATGGGAGGGAGTCGATTTTTCGGCCAGTCCATGGTGTTCGAACGTGGATCACAACATTGATCAATCGGTGCAAACCTGTTACTGGACGAATATTGGATACGGAGATGGGCACTACAGTGGTTACAATAACCAAACGGGCTCATTCGATTGATCAAAAGACCGTGGTTTACAGCTTTTGAATTTGGTTATTACAAAAAAAACATGCATGGAGAAGACGAGTACGTAAAATTGGACTCCAAGACGACGCTTTTTAACGTTGAGCTTTTGGAGGAAACGTATAAGGCGTTTGAATGGAAGTCTCTCTCTCTCTCTCGGACTTTTTTGTTTATATAAAGGAAATTTTATACGTTGATTTTGTGTTTTGTTGTTATTGGATATATGATATATTTGATTAAAAAAAAAAAAAGAATCACGAATTTCGCTCTTCTTGTCGCCCGCATCGATTCGGTCTCTAATGATAAAAACAATTGGACCACCATTAATTAACCTTTGACCCTAACTGATCAAAAGTCACCAGCTTTGGAAGTGGTAACAAATTATATCATTGCATGGGAATAATTTTAGCATAAAATCATCTTTTTTTCGGAAAAAGCAGGGGACCGTATCGTTGGTTATAAGCTTTTGTGTCATCTGCTTATAATAAGTTAGGCGAATATGTATGTTGAAAGTGCTTTTGTAAAAGAAAGTAATAAAACACGTGGAAAAGAACAAATGTGACGCAGCAACCTTATATAAAAAAGACCTATGAAGGCCTTCAAATATTTCCATGTAACATGCAATTGGGTCCTTAGCTCAGTGGTAGAGCATTTGACTGCAGATCAAGAGGTCACCGGTTCGAACCCGGTAGGGCCCTTCAATTTTTATGTAACCTTTTTTTTTTCAAATCTCTCAGCATTCACTTACCAAATTTACCAAAATTCTAATATTACTTATATAACTTTGATTGGTTTTCCTAAATTAGATTTCAAAAGTTACAAAGAAAATAGTGGAGTTGATGCACAAGGGATAAGGATAGATGTTTGTATGTAATGTTTACCGACCATTCATGACCAAACCCCAAAACAAAAGACGCGAAACAAATCTACTCCCTATTTTCCTCTCCAATATAACCGAACCCAATCATACCGGACCGACCCGGTTTGGTTTCCGGTACTCAGCTCTAACCCTAAAATATACAAAATCGCCGAAACAACAAACTGAGAACTACTTCTCATGAATCAAAACCCAATACCACTTCAAGAATCTATCATTACACAAACAAATCGAATCTTTCAATATCAAGATTGATGATGATCTAACCAAAACCGGCTCTAATCTATGTCCGATTTCGTGTGTGTGTGTGTATATATATGCTTCAGACTAGTAACAATCTTCCTTGGTGTCTGACATATTGATGGAGTTTCCCATCAGGAGATACCATTAAGCCTCTTACATGTGCAGGTCTAGTCTTTTGCTTCACTTCCAGCCTCAATGTACTATTCCGATCCTCAAGGTTTGTTGTCCACTGCTCTGGCAAGACCTGTTCCAGAAATTCATCTGCCACATCTCCATCTTCATCAACTCTTAGCCGCTTGGAATACCATCCTAAACCCTGATTATTCAAAGAGGATGCACATTAAAATCGGCTTCTTGCCCATCTTTCCTTTTCAATTTAGTCCATAGCAGGAAAATACACATGGATAGTGATTGCAGGAGTTCGAGTACTAGGGATGACAGTGACAAGGGAGAGAGCACAATCATATTACTATTACATGGAGAATTCAGTAGTCAAACCAGTGACAAGATCATAATCTGGCTATAACAAGGTGGTGGGTTGGTAATGGAGAGAAGCTGAAAACGTGGTCTTCTTTAAGACTTGGCAAACAGAGATATTATCGTATGATGGGCACTTAATCATATTGGCTGATCCATCCGAACTGAATTCGTAAACTAGGACTAATAATCTCACCCTGAATTTGTAAAATGATTGTTAGGACGATTCATTTCTTTCACTCACAAAGGAGAAGGAGCAAAAGATAGACTCAATTTACCATTGCTGAACCAAAGGATCAATCAGACAGAAACCAAAATCTTGTACAAGTAAAACATCAGCAGTTGGACCAAACCTCATATGTTAAAGGGTACCGACAGAAATCCATCTCGAGCACAAGCTGAGCCGTTCTAACGACATCAAGTTAGGGACAGCCTGAAACAGGATCTATGGATATAAATTCTAAAGGTCAGAAATGAGAAAGCCGGACTTTTTGTGGTTGGGTTTGTCCTAATGTAGAGTTATAATTGTTAGAAAAATGTTATTAATTTCTTAAAACCAATTTGTGGTGAATGAGAAATTAATTC